TAACCATTCTAAAAGGTGTGAGGTGATGTCTCATTGTGGTTTCAATTTGCACTTCTCTGATGACTAGTGATACTGAGCACCTTTTCTTGTACCTGTTGGCCATCTCTATGTTTTCTTTGGAATAATATCTATTCAGATCCCCAGCCCATTTTCAAATCAGATTGTTTGTTTGTTTGTTTGCTATTGCATTGTATGAGTTCCTTACTTATTTTGGATATTGTCCCCTTATCAAATGTATAGATTGCAAGTATTGTCTCTCATCCAGTAGGTTGTATCTTCATTTTGTTAATGGTTTCCTTTGCTATGCATCCCACTTTTATTACTGATGTTAGTAATTTGAGTTTCTCTCTCTCTTTTTTTTTAAGTCAATGTAGTTGAAGTTTTGTCAATTTTGTCGATTTTTTTTTAAAGAATCAATTTTGGAAAAAAAAGAATCAATTTTGGATTTATTGATTTTATCTATTGCTTTTCTATTCTCTGTTTTATTTATCCTGCTCTAATCTTTATCATTTCCTTCCTTATGCTAGCTTTAGGTTCAGTTTGTCCTTCAGTCTTTAGTCTTCTTTAATCATTTTTGATAATTGTTTGTAGTTTTCAGTGCACAAGTTTTATACTTCTTTTGTTAAATTTATCCCTAAGTATTTTATTCTTTTTGATGCTATCAGAAATGAAACTATCTTGTAAATTTAATTCTCAGAGTATTCACTGCAAATGTATATAAATGTAATTGATTTTGTATATTGATCTTGTATTCTACAACTTTGCTGAACTCACTTATTTTAATAATTTTTTGTGTGGACTCTTTGAGAGTTTTCTATACGCAATATCATGTTATCTGCAAACTGAGATAGTTTATTTCTTCCTTTCTAATCTGGATGTCTTTTATTTCATTGTCTTGCTAAGTCACTCTGGCTAAACCCTCCAGTACAATGTTAAATAGAAGTGGCAAGAGTAAGAATCTTTGTCTTGTTCCTTCTTTTAGGAATTTTGTGTGGTTTTTTGTTTTGTTTTTTATCTTTCCTTGCTTTTTTTTTTTAATTTTGGGGGGAGATAATTAGATTTATTTATTTATTTACTTCATTTTTTTTTTTTAATGGAGGTACTGGGGATTGAACCCAGGATCTCGTGCATGCCAAGCACGTGCTCTACCACTGAGCTACACCCTCCCCCCGAATTTTATGTGTTCTTTAACAGCATTTTAATTGAATTGTTTTTCTAAGTTAACTTTTCAATATATGCTCCTAGAACACAGAAATATGTTTATATTAATATCTTATCCTGTCACCTTCCTAAATTCACTTATTAGTTCTTGTAGTTTTTTAAAAATTTTGGCTCTTTAGGATTTCCTACATAAACAATTATGTTGTTTTTAAATAAATACAGTTCTGATTCTTCTTTTCTACTTTTATGCCATTAATTTTTTTATTATTTCCTCATTACACTACTTAAGACTTCCAGTACAATGGTGATAAAGTGGTAAGCGTAGATATTCTTGCTTTTTGGTAGATTCTAGGAGAAAGGGTTAAATATTTACCCTTTGTTACGCTGCTACACAGAAACTGTAGAGTCCTTGGGATTCCCCAGGGATTTAGTGTCTGGTCACTTCAGTAGGGCTGAACCCCTTTGCACCTAGCTCCTGCTACTTCCAGTTTTGGAAGTGTGTCCTTACAGATCTCCTCCTCTTCTTTCTTCTGTCTGCTCTTGGTTGTCAAGGGCCACTTCTGAGAACTGAGAAGTGAAATAAATAGAGGAAAGGACTCTGAGCCCCCGCCCCACCTCTGGCCTGTTTTCTCTGGCTGTCTGTCAGAAGTGAGTGACAGCACCAAAGAAACTTTCTGCCATAATGCTATGTAGGAATCTGTACCAGTTTCAGAAGGCATCCAATATCTTCTTCCCCTAATTTTTGGACTGTAGTTACTGCTAGACCCCAAATGAAACCAAATGTTTGGAGTTTTGGTTAGATTTGGAAAGTGTTACTACCTAGCTGATGAACATGTTTCATTTATGGTTTGCATTGGAATTAGAAAAGTGAGAAATAAGAGTTGCACTGATTTCATTTAACTTACCAGTCTTTTCAGTTTTCCTGGCCTCCACTCAATGTATCTTTTTGAAAAAGAACTTGTGGAGTGTTTTGGAGGTCTCTTACCAGAGATCATCAGCCTTTCTGCCTTATCCATTCTCCCCTTCAGAAGATACAGAGGAACTTTTCCTCATCTCATGTATAGGTCCAGGGTAAAACCTTAGGACAACAAGGATATGGGGCAGGACTAGCAGGGCCAAAAGGGGAAAGGCCTATTTGTCATTATGGGCCAAAGGTGAGGAGGACAAAGTCTGGACCTAGAAGAGATGTATAAATATTTGCAAATGCTATGTCCTTCACTGTTTTGGACATTGTCAGCGTTCTGGCTTCCTCGTGATTCTGGCTGGGGTAAGGGAGAAAGAGCAATTAAAAAAATTCAAAAAAGTCATCCCAGTCATGAAGATACCAAAGCAAGGGAGATGTTTGGACTTTTTTGTTCCTCTGGCTTGTTTCTTCCTCAAAACAGTTGAGGATCTCTCATGGCCTTTAAGAGTGTGAGTGAAGTATGTCCAGAGTAACTGAAATTTCCAAGGCCT